ATATTTTCTGGGAACTTTGGTATTCCAGCTGTAGCTGTTTTATTTCAAGTTTCTTTTCTTATTTTAATCTTTACTACATTGTCTATCATTCTATCTAAATAAAATATTCACGTAAAGTTTTCATGAATGGATATAGGCGTAGACCGCTACCGACTCGTCCCCAGTCTCTCTTTAATAAAGAATATTGTTACAAAGCGCAGGTGGGAGACACAAAATGCGGTACGGGCGTGAAGGCGCTTAGGTGCGGCAGGTGGTTTTCTCGCCCGCATTTTCGCCTTTCCCGCGCCTCAGCTGCCTGCGCCCCAACACCATCCCCTTAAAACCTCCAGCTATGCAGGTGTCAGGCTAACCAGGAGCTAACTCCATCAACAAACATAATTAAGGATTAGCTAGAACCAGTAACGTTATAGTAGTAATGTTATTGATCGGCTAGAAGCTAATAACGCACTAATAAAAAACTGATTTGAGGACGTGAGATAAAAATCCTGGGGCCGGTTGTATAAAAAAGTGATTAAAGTTAAGTAAAGTTAGTGGAAACGTCATCCAATAAGAAGCGCGTATTTGAGAGTTAATCACTATTTAACTACAAAATAGTGATTAAAAAAGTGATTAAGAGTTTTATACAACCGGACCCTGGAGATTTAGAAATATTGGATGGGGAAAAGCATCGTTGCATAAAAAATAATTATCTGGAAAAAAGCACCAAAAAACTGTATTAAAACATGTGGGTGAATCAAATTACTGAAACTTATGACAGCTAGCTTTAAATGAAGTAACAAAGAGAACAAATAATATTTTATAGATTTTTGTGTCTTCACGGGCGATTTAGTGCAGAATTTTGCGAATCTTGGTCACAGCGTGTTGATTGTGCGCCATGCATGCATGATGATTAATATCATGAAAAAATCATGCAGCACGATGATTAATATCATGAAAAAATCATGCAGCACGAAAATTGCAGACTAACGGAGATATTTTTAAAATGACGTTGTAGATATCGTTGCATGGGCCATGGAACTCTCACGACAGTGCTGGAAACAATGTGCTTTTATTTTCTTAGGAACTTGATTTTTGGTTATTTCATATACATTAACAATTATTTTTGAAATACTCATCTTGAAAGTACTTTAATGCACAAAATGAAAAAGAACTTCCCTCTGCACACACAAGAGGAACACAATTTAATCAGCTGTTGTAGAACACATATATTGTCATAACAACATATTTTGGGCGTGCCTTTCCAGTTTCCTCTCGCTGTGATCACACGCAATCACTTGGCACTTGCTGTGCACGAAAAATGTGTCCCGAAAACTATCAACACATATTGGTCCATGTATATATTGTTATCACAATCAAGTTGATGTATAAAACCACTCGTATACTCATGTATGAATAAAACTACGCTTTCAGGGCCAAAAACGCGCGAGAGCGACCACGCGCCTCAAAAATAATGCAGGTTGAACGAACACGTGTAAGGTCTTCAAGAATTTAACTGAGAACTAAGATCAGTAAGTTGTACGCTATCCAATCACAAAAGCTTTTAAACTGTAAGAAAAAATTCTATTTTTAATTTTTTTTGTAGTTTAATTAAAACTACAGAATTTTGCGTTCCTTCATTTGTTTTGGAGTTCCACATAATTGCCCATAAATGAAACTTTTTTGATGTTGTTTGTACGAGGCAATGGACTGATGATTAGAGACACGTCCCGAAGTTCTGTATAGTTTGTTTTACTGTTTCTAGTTCATTTCTGTAAGTGAAAAGATCAGTGAGTAACTTGGATTGCGTTCATGCACTCACTGTGTTTAACTCGTTTTATCAAGCAATGACCACGAAAACAGTTTGCAAAGCATAGACTGACACTCCCTGCTGGGTTTCCCCAGAGGTTTCCCAGCTTATTGTTACACACTCTATCAATATCAATTGTCACGCAAGAAACATCACTGCGCTACCATCTGACAACAACCGGAAACTGCGAATTGGTAAGATGGATCAACACGCAAGGTCGGCAAATCATCATGTTTGTATTTTGTATCGCCCACTGTGTTGTCCCTCAAGGCAGATTAACTAACTTTTCAACATTTTACGTTAATTATAAGGCAATTTAAAAGCGCCAATTCATATCTATGCCTATGGCAACGTTCAAATTTAGCACAGTCATGGTTGTCATTTCTATAGTTTCATAAGAACTTTTTACATGTTTCCGCCTTGATTTCCGTCTTATACTTGATTATTTGTCTTTAGGGACGGACCATTTGATTTTTCATGGGGGGGGGGGGGCATTTTTGAGAGTGCTCGATTTTTTTTTGGACCTCACCGACTCCGCACGATTTTTTTTTTATCGAATCTTGCCGCGTGCACGATATTTTTTTAAATTTTTACTATAGCGTTAGTACAATAATAACCACGTATGGTTATATTCCGGTTGAAGAATGTATTTGAATATACAGCATATAACCACAAAATAGGAAAGTATAGCAGAAGTGCAACCCACGAAAATTTTAACTCGGTCACGCCATCCTGGCTAGTACAGCCGGAAATTTTTATCAGGTTTTGATAGGTACAAAGTGCCGGTTGTACTAGCCATGCAGGATGGCGTGATTGATGATCGGACGAATCGCTTGTAAAAACGCGGACAAATACTTGCTTGAGTGAGACCTATTCTATGATATAACTATCACAGCCCATTTTATACTCGGCCAATTTTATACTTGGCCCATTTTATACGGGGCTATGGTCTACGAAATGTAGACCATAGTCCCAATCAAAATTGGATCAAGTGTATTAAAGTGTGTAACCCATTTTGCATTGGCGTAATGGCATCTATATACAAATTCTCACGATTCCCAATCGTATCAGTGTTCCCAATACGTATTATAAACTGCGATTTTTATTGAGAATCAGAGAGCGATATTAATGAGCCGGGTGGGAAAGGGTATTTTTGTGACCCGTGAATGCAGTGGCGTAGCCAGACTATAATTTTTGGGGGGGCATATATCGAACGCCGAAGGCGTAAGCCTTTTTAGGGGTGTCCGGGAAAGGGGTGTCCTTTTTAGGGGTGTCCGGGAAAATTTTGAAATCTGGAATCCCTCAATGGCGATTTCCCGTGTTTCTGGGGAGAGATTTTGCATAATTCTGAAGATTATTTACTGCAGGAAAGACCTGATTTTTAATGATTTCTCAATAATGTGGATCCTTAATTTGACTCAACGAAGCTTACTTGGTCGCGTGTAAATAGTTAAATCGAAGTTTTAAAACGCATTTTAACCAATAACCACCATAGGCATTATTTTCTGTAGTTAGATTAAGGAAAGATTAGAACTTTTACAGACAATTTGGTGAACAGATGAGATTGGGAGTCACATGGGTAGTCATCGTCCCCCCCCCCCCTAATTTCTACCCGGATTTCATCTTTTTACAAGGGCAGTCCATCAGCCTATTTGGGGGGGGGGGGCTGAGCCCCTGCGTGAATGGTCAATATTTGATCGTGTGAAATGCTTGATTTTACTGTCATGATCTGTGATTTGTTCTACAGCCGTGAGGCGTGATTGTCGATCAAAAAATGCTCCGTGAAATGGGAATTAAGGATGTCTGTTTCGTGAACTGTGATTTTGATTTGTTTATTCCGATCTATTTTATAATAGTGATAATGGACATAATACGCGATAATAATTTATATGATCGATCTCACTCGATTGCACAAGAGTAGAAACTTCGGAGGCCTTTCGGAGATCGTCGGACGTACTCATAACTCAAACTTGTAAGTAGTTTTTAACTGCCAGGCAGAGAAGAGAACTTAAAGCGTAGTACTGTACCATGCATTAAACATAATCTTAAAGCTATTATTATTATATTATTTTTATTAGAGTCTCGTTATCCGTGAAATGTGAAAGGGAAACTGAATTTTTCTTTCAATATAGAGTATTGCTATTAAATTTAGAATTTTTTTGTGCTCGATATTTTTTTTTGCTGGTGTTAGTGATGTTCGATTTTTTTTTCTTCCATTCGAGACATGCTCGATATTTTTTTTCGGATTTGCGCCCCCCCCCCCATGAAAAATCAAATGGTCCGTCCCTTATACTGATTTGTTTTCTTAGCTGTCATGTCATGTCTATAACACAGACATGGTTTATTTAGAGTATCCATCAACTAACGGCGTGGGAGTCATATAGGATGGGTTATTTTTATTTTATTTTTCCCCCTACATGTACAAGATTACATAACGAAACAATTAAGATAATATTTGCAAGTGATAGGACTAAAGACCTACATTAGTCCTCTAGTTTATATGTTACATATTGTCTTATTGATGTAGATAATATAGTAATCAAATCAATGAAAACTAAAAGCGAGTTTCTAGAAGCAGAATGTGTCCTGACTATAAAATTGTTTCAGATAATTATCATTTACTATATATTTAAACATTTCCATGCCCCAACAACATGTAATGTTTTCTACAATGCAAACAGAGACCCTAAACTCACGGTAGATTCAAGGATTATCTTTCTGAACATACCATGAGAAATGGATAGGAACGGTACAAAAGCAAAAATTACACAGGCACTTTTCTACACAGGATCATGCCATACTCAGTTGATGTGAGTGAACAACTTCATGAATTGTGGCACTAGTCACTAGTCATTCAGGTCAAATTTCATTGCATTGCTGGCATGAGAGAAGAACTAGCACGTGGCGGAACATTTTTTCGGACCTAACATATTCCCTACTGGATATTTTTAATACACCTACCCATTTCCTTTCATTCTTTCCCCAATTGTTCTCTAAAGTTTCCTAATTTTTAAACATCAACTTCAAATTTTTAATCTTATGTTTTTTTTTGCATGTGACATCATACTTACCAAATGCTAAATATCAAGATTTTTGGGCATCTACACTCAAGATGATAACTAATTTAAAGAAGGGTTTTGTAGATGGAAATTTCGAGTCTGAAGTTTATACATTTTATTATTTACTAGACCTAACCAGGAAAATGCAACTATAGGTCCTCTGGCAGGAATCAAACCTGCAGCCCTGCAATTCCGGTGCAGCGCTCTAACCAACTGAGGTACAGAGGACAGTTGTTGAGCTCTAACCATAAGTTCATGGATATAACTAAGGTGATCAGCCAATGTAAGGTGCATGGGTAAATATCAGGTTTTTCACTCTCCATAACTATTTGTAGAAGGGTTTTATAGATGGAAATAGCGAGTGTGACTTTTATAGAGCTTGACAACTGTCCTCTGTAGCTCAGTTGGTTAGAGCGCTGCACCGGAATCACAGGACCACAGGTTTGATTCCTGCCAGAGGGCTTATGGTTGCATTTTTCGCAACTACTCCTGGTTAGGTCTAATAAAATTCACACTCGCAATCAAGTCTGGAAATAATTTTTGAGGACCTGCCTGTCAAAATGACCAGCAGTCCAGAACCAATGAATTTGTGCCTGTCATGAAACAAAACATACCGGTCATTGTACCGGACTGCCAAAAACATAGGATACAAAATATGCAATGGTTAAAATCATTAAATACATAGAGATTACTGCATGGTTGGTGAGCGTGTATGATTTTTATGCACGAACCATGAAAGATTGCAAAGGAACGAGTGAGTGAAGTGAACAAGTGAGTTTAGCAATCTTTCACAACAAGTGCATAATGAAAATCGGACAAATGAACCAACCATCCAACAAACCAACCAAGTTAGTTATTTTCTTTGATATTTAAATTTTTTTCGCGGTTCAAGTTCAACAAAAATTCCTGCCAAACTCGCAAATGATGTTTCCACTTGGAACAAGCACGGATTTTCTGGGGAGTGCGGGAGGGGGGGGGGG